ATATGTGTACATATGTATACATATGTATGTGTACATATGTATACATATGTGTGTGCACATATGCATACATTTGTGCGTGTACACATGTGTGCATATGTAATTACATGTGTAAACATATGAATTTACCTCAAATCATAATATCTTGTGACGGCGTGGTGCAGGTGAAGGAGTGTTGTTGAAAATGTGTACAATTTATTTATGTACTTTTGTGACGGCCTGTTCCCAATCCGAGGCCAAATTCGCAGAAAGTGTGGGCATTAATTCGATGCAAGCAAAGCAGAGGAAACACAAGTTTATGAGCAGTTGAAGGATGGATGGACTCGAGAGACGACGACGACGACGATGTTGTTGTTGAACTGATGGGAACCAGATCTTTTAAACTTTTCTGTTTTTTCTAGATTATTTTTAACGTGTATCTCATTTCATTTCACACGCTAATGCTCCTGGCACTCATAAACTGGGTTTCACAAAGTGACGTTGTTTAATTCTGATGATGCTGAAACGAACCAGGATGACTCAGCGGACACATCAGAGTCCAACGAAACTAGCTCCGATAATGAACCCCAAGCAAAAAAAGAAAGACGATCTCGAGGTGGAAGAAGGAACAAGCTGTCAAATTGTAGTAGAGAAGGGGACAGTCGAGATTCAAGTTCAGACGCGTCTTCGGACGAAGAAGAGGAAGAAGACGATACAGAAAGTCAGGCAAGTGGAACTTCTGGTGAATGCTGTAAGGTGTGTCGGACATTGCATAAGCCTGACCGTGTAGATTTTTGGGGTGAACCACTTTCTGAGTATCATATTCATGGAGTAGAATTGATGCTAAGCAATGAAGATTCGATGAATGTGTTAACAAAATTGATGCAGTTTCTAGAACTCCCCCAAACCCAAGAGGAGAAAATGTTAACGTTTGGGGAACATGTGAAAAATGTAATAGCGTCTATTATGCAGGCGGCAAAGAATGGAGAAATGGTTGTGACTCGTAAATTACTTACTGATATCGTAGGATCGTCTGTAGGTCTCCCAAATGATAATCCATACGCTTGATTACCAGTAAGAAAACGTTGAAACCTACTCAATGCTAAATGAACAACTGTATACTTTCCAAATTACTCAAAATAAAAGATCAAAAACCTTCTAATTCTTGTGCAAACCAACAACATTGTCTTTTAATGCGGCTTAAAAATCAAGTGGTTTTAGTGTTTTGTTTTTAACGCAATAAAGTTAAAGGGAGATAATTTTTCTAAAAGTTTGTGTGCTGTGTACTTAGGCACTGCCTCACCTACATATCCCAACTTTACTTATGATAATAAATAAATGGGAAAGGTTTACATTAGACAAGAACTCAGTCAAATTTACGGCGCATAATAAATAAACACAATTTTAAGAATTAGTTAACAAATCTTTGACAATAAATGCTAATTATAAATACTTCTGATCTGTTATTTCATCTCATTACTGCAAACAATTTTCATATATAATTTTTCATGTTTTTAAAACAATAAGTTTTTTCATGCGTGAATATCATATTTTCACAAATAACGCTATATTTTTGTAGATAAACCTTCATAAGTACTATTTCAAACGTTTATGAAAAATTGCGTCATCATTAGTATCACCACTAACTTCAGAAACGTTTCACTCTACCTTTCTTCAGTCTTTTTCTCGTAACTTGCTTATTAGTATCAACACTACCACCAACAAAAAGGTTGAACTCCACTTTTTCAACCTTTTCTATACATAATAAAACTTAAAGCATAGGACGGGACATAACAAATACTGGCATACCCTTACATGATGACTTACTACACCATACATATACCTTGGTCTCATAACAAAGGTGTCTATCCTTAAACGCTATGGGAATAAGTTCTCCCATAAGAAATGTATTGTAAGGAAGAGGCATTGGGCGGAGCCGTAGAAAAGGCTCGGGGTATTTTGGAATATTTGGGGTGCTTTGAAATATTTAATTGGGGTAAATTGAGGTATTTGGATAAATTGGGATACTTGAATAAATTGAGACAAATGGGATAACATGAGACATTTGGGGGTAAATTGACACACTTGGATAATTTGGGAGAATATAAATTGAGACCTAAAGTCTCAAATGTCCCGCCATCATTTCTTGTCAACCCATGTACACCCATCTGACAGATTTTTTCCCATAGGAAATACGTTGTTCGGGTAATTTGAGATTTGGGATAATTTTAGTCATTTGGGGTGATTTGAGACACCAAGGGTAATTTATGGCATAGAGGGGTAACTTGAGACAATTGGGGCATTTTGAGATACTTGGGGTAATTTGAGTTGTCCCGCCAATATTTTTCGACACATGAAAATACATCTGAGACTTTGGTTACTATAAGCAGACAGCATATCCTTGCAATACATACCTATGCTATAAAGGCCTTGTGGCGAGGAGCCCTCTTTTTCCTCATAAGAAGTGTGTGATGAGGACCCGTCTTTTTTTCCCATAAGAAATAAAGTGGGTGAGAAATCCGTGGCTTCTCCCATAAGAAATAAAGTGGGTGAGAAATCCGTGGCTTCTCCCATAAGAAATAAAGTGGGTGAGAAATCCGTGGCTTCTCCCATAAGAAATAAAGCGGGCGAGAAATCTTTGGCGAGAAGCCCTAGCCAAGGATTTCCCCATAAGAAATAAAGCGGGCGAGAAATCTTTGGCGAGAAGCCCTAGCCAAGGATTTCCCCATAAGAAATAAAGCGGGCGAGAAATCTTTGGCGAAAAGACCTAGACACTTCTACTACTGGTATGAGAAATTTTGTCCGGTGCATCCCTTGGGAAATTAGGTGGTCACGAGCCTTTTTCCGATCCGAGAAAATCATTTTTTCGCACAAGTGCAATAGAGTGACAAACTAAGTTTTCCACTTCCGGGCACTTCCTCCAAATCTTATGCTGTCATTTTTTAGCAAAATGAGATAATCAAATTCTGTTTTCAGTTTTAGCAAGCTTATTAAATTTACCACTTTTTATGCTTTTTACATATGCAAAATTAATTTTTAACTGGTCGAACCAATTGAGGGATGATACTTTCTTTTATTGACGAGGATTAGAAGAATTATTTTATGTTTTAAATGATAGGTCATGTTATTTTACAAATATCCTGTAAGGGGCTGAATGGTTATCTCGGACGCCTATCCGGATCAAGTAAAGGTTTTCCTAACCCACCAACATGGGGTTTTTCCTCAACTCCCCAAGCCAACTAAATGTATTTCATAGTTTATCAATGTTTATGTTAATAAAATAAAAAACAAAAAATTTAGTGACCAGTCCATAATTTCGGTACTACAATCAAGTCGATGAGAAAAAAATAGCTAATTCGTTTACCATTTTTCGCAATAAATTTCAAATTTCCCCAAAAATGAGTTTGACTTTAGAAATAGGATTTTAAAACATTGAACAAAGCTTGAGACTAAAAACTCCATGACGAAGATATGCGGCCTTCAAGCACTTTAGTTTTTATGTATAAAGTGACGAGGGATACTTGGACGTGCAGGTAGCCTTCGGCGACCTGCAAGTCCGGCCAGCACTGCAGGTCGGCTTTACCGAACTGCAGGTCCACCTTCGCACCGCAGGTCTAACTCCAATTTTTTCCGTATGCAGGTCTACGCTTGCCGTGCGGGTAGGTGGTGGGAAAGTATGCACATACCTGTCTCTTAATGAGATGTTTGCATTCTTTTAGTTTTTTTGTTAAATCATTTACGCAAATTAAGATATGTACATGACGGAAGATTTCTCCTAGAATAATTTAAGACCAAAGAGAGCCTTTGCAACATCATTTGAAATGATTCATTTTCTTTTCTGGTGGAGGATATTTTATTCAGTTGCATTGTCTTAATTTATTCATGGTACATATGTGCCATTGCCTTCGATGATAACACATAAATACTTCACGGCCCCACGGATTTTGGATATGTCTTACATATATACACTGCTAAAAATAATGTGAAGTCATTAAGTCATACATAGCTAGGCCCCGATTTAGGGGTCTCGGGCAGATGTCCGAGTTGCAAAAGAGCAGGTTTAATAAAAATGAGAAGATGCAATTAGCACAGCTAATGTAAGACTGTATTCTTGGACAAAAGTAGTCGTAAAACTATTTTTATTTTTTCAGTAAAACAATTACTTTGCCTACAAAGCTTATAAGAAGTCGAACGAGAAATCGGATTTCTAATATACCTACATATACCGACTATCCTATTAACGATTTCTGTATTAATCGTTCCGAAATATCTGACAATGAGATCATTATTAAATTGTCCACATCGATGCCTGGACCTTGAACGGCTGGACTTGCGTATGTGCATATGTAGATTAGACTGGACTCATGGTCAGGTTGGGTTCCGAATACAAAATGCGAAAAAATTATTTTCAATGCAACATAAAGGAGTCAGTATACCTTAAAAAAAGCTTGAAACACTAGCATATGTATGTATTTTGGGTACCCTGCTCCTACTCGATATTCATTCTCAGAACATATATGTATAACTCGAAATTATAAAAAAATAAATTGATTGATCGTTGTCAATTGATCAACTCACCTCCGGCAGATGACCGGCCTGTCACGCCAGACAATTATTCCTCGTCATCACCTCTGTTATAAAACCAGATAAGAAGGATTCCTCATTACCAAGTATTGCGCGACCGGAGGCGATAACAAAAAATTCTGATTCGATGAATTCGGTTATCAGAAATTTTCCATTGACGTTGCTCCCAAATTAGGGACCGTGCACAAAATATGTTGTATATTTTAGTACACGTTTTAGCTTGCAATGGTCACCCATTTCCCACAAATTCTGCTGCCATACGTTGCTAAAATCAATGTCATGGTTTATGCGGGATCCTCACAAATTATGACATTTGAGCTTCAGCTTCGCAATAAAAAGGCCGATAAATTAGTGCCATAATGTCAGAAAGATTTACAAAGTCAACGTTACAATATATAAATATTTTCCACTTAACAGTTATTAAATTGCCCCGAGGTAAAATGAGACATATAACGGTGTCCCACGTCGCAATATTTCTTCTGTATTGTTCAATACGGTCAGATTGTAAAGTTTTAGAATGTGTCGGCGATCCTCAGGTAAGAAAATGCTACATAAATATTTGTATAAGTTTGCGTGTCACATAAAATTTTTTTCGGGTCAAACCCGACCCGATCCTTGGGTCGGGTTCAGACATTTGCCGGGTCGGAATCAGAAATTAGTAGGACTAAGAATTTGGTTTGCATGTGGTTCGGAAATGGGCCGGGTTGTGTCTTCAAAATGCTTAACCCTGACTGACCTACATTTCACACATTAAGGAGAAAAATACTTCAAATTTTATTGGAGTATGGCTGAATATTTTAAGGGAAATATTTAAAATTTTCACTTTATTTACTGATAATCACTTGTTTCTACGTATCTTTTTAGATTTTAATCTAATTTGGTAAATGTTTTTTTTTGTATTCTTACCAACAAACTACTGGACTAATTTTACTGTAAATAAAATCAAGCATAAATTGTACTTTAGTTATGTAATAATTATGTGAATATGATGGCGTAGCTGGTGGACTGTCCCCCGTGGGAGGAGGGTGTTCCCACCTATCACCCGTACCCCTACGACTGCCGGAAGTTCATCGAATGCACCAATGGGGATGCGGTCGTTCAGTGTTGTGCACCTGGGACGGTGTGGGATCAGGATTTACTCGTCTGCAATCACGAAGGTGTGACACCCTGCGTCATCGTGACGACTACACTAGTGCCGTAAGCAGCACGTCATTTATTTTAACTAAAATTATCTCCTGCCATCATTTCCCGAATAAATTATATTGTTAATTTAAAACTGTTTTAACAGAGGTACAACTACTCCAACTACAACTACTCCAACGACAACTACTCCAACTACAACTACTCCAACTACAACTACTCCAACCACAACTACTCCAACTACAACTACTCCAACTACAACTACTCCAACTACAACTACTCCAACTACAACTACTCCAACCACAACTACTCCGACAACAACTACTCCGACAACAACTACCCCGACGACTACTCGTCCAACTACATCAACTCAGCGTCCGCCAATTGAAGATGGGATGATTTTTAGACTAATCAGTTATGTATCCCCACTGGTAATAACCCCCACCACCTTTAACAAATTGGCGTTATACGACCATTTGCATATTTAACGTAATCGATTTTCACTAGGCAGTCGAGGTCTACAACGCTAGCTTAGCTAACGCAGCAAAAATCCACGCTTACCCCGCCGCTCGAGACTGCTCAAGGTTAGCTCAGGTGTGGAAATTAGGGATTATTGGTAAGTTTGTTAATTTAACCAAATTAATGATAACGCGAACCTAGTATGTATAAATATTTATGTAAATATACATATTTATTTGGATTTGCGTGGGGGTGGGGGTGAGGGTGGAACTATAAATGAGGTCTGGTAAGACCTAATGATTTTTAAAAATGTGTAATTCGTTGCCAGGTGGGAATTACACATTCCATTCGGCTTTGGGTGGCACGAATCAGTGGGGACATTCGATGCACAGATGCTTCCCTAACCATAACCGGCCCTGCCTTTGGGTAAGCTTAACCCATTAACGGGGCATTATAGTTTGCTCTGGCCGCTCTATCAGCCAATACAGTCCCTCGCTCAATATTTTTCCGCATGTTGACAACATAATTTTTTGCACAGCTTTTTTACCTTGTCATTCTAATTCCGAGATTAAATGTGCACTCAAAATGTGGAATTTGTTGAATTACAACTAGTGATAGTTGCGCAACAAGAAAATAAGGCCCTTTGAGGAATTGATATGCTACTTTTATTTATATTAATCAATTAATCTCGAGAAAAACAAAATTTTGAAGGAAATTGATTTTCGGCATTTAATATAAATAAAAGTAGCATATCAATTCCTCAAAGGGCCTTATTTTCTTGTTGCGCAACTATCACTAGTTGTAATTCAACAAATTCCACATTTTGAGTGCACATTTAATCTCGGAATTAGAATGACCAGGTCAAGATTTTGCATTTTTTCATGATTCGTCTCAACTTGTCATAGAGTATGCGTGGTGGGAAGCCACCACCACACATACTCTTCCCACTGGAAACCACTAAAAACATAAACAATGCCAGATGATATTTCCAGTTTTTTGCAAAAAATTCAAAATTCCCACCGAAACTTGTGAACTATTTACCCCACCGAGTTCATCAGTTTCGCCACTATGTGATTTATGAGGATTAGTTTAACATAAAATATAGTCAACTCTTAAGGAGTATGATTAAGTACTTTACACTAATTTATGTTAATTCGGATCCCTTAAGCGTATGTTATAATCATGGCATACCTGTTCCAAAAAAATTGTTTTCATTCAAAGTTTAGTCATCCTGATTCTTGCCTGAAGATTTTCAATCATTTTCTTTGAAAATCATTTCATTTCACTTCATCGGACTCCATTTCTTGCTTCGCCCCATTTACCTGTATTACCCATAGGGTGAAAAATGAAAAGAGTTATACTAAAATTGAACAAGATATCTCCTGTGCGGGTGGAGCTTAGCTCGTGAAAACCCTGTGTTGCGCTTCAGTTCTCCCTGTTAAGTGAGGCGCAACACTGGGTTTTTCACGAACTAAGCTCCACACGCACAGTACATATCTTGTTCAATTTTAGTATAAAATCCTTTCATTCAGAATTTAGCACTGCATTACGATTCCTGCCTGCTTACAAATTGCTCTGATTTTACAGGATGACTTGCAAGGGTCTCCATACTGGCAGTTAACTTCGGTCCCAGGAACACGATATTACACAGTTGCCAACGTCTCATTTAACGAGCTAGATAACACAATTAGCTACACACGGTTCAAATACATTTACAAACTTTTGAACACTTACAATTAGTGATCATTGAAATAATTAAGCTTGCATTTATGTAATTCCTTTCAGCGTTGCGAATGATGGTGGCGGCATTGATCTCCTAATGTATCCTCGGAACATGTCGGACATTGAACAGATGTGGGAACTAAGGCGATGTTAGGAAACAAATAGATGGGCACATTATTCCAACTATACCTTGTTAAATAGTCCCCAAACTTCTGGGCGTTCCAATGTAAGAATATATGCAAATATTTATGTCCTTTAATAAATCAGAGTACTTAAGAGAGAATTATGGTCTTTATCATTTCACGCCTCCAATACAGTGCACACTCGGTAGCTATACTTTCAAATTTAGCGACCGAGGTTATTACCGGTTTGGTAACAAAATATCTATCACTTGGAAATGAATTAATTACCATGCGTAGAGTCACCTAGATACTCCGCCTGGTAATAACTTTGCTACCGGGTTTCTTAGGGTGTATGTTCCCCGAATTTTGACAAAATTGGTGGAAATCTATCGATCAAAGATTTAATACAGGCGTAATTAGAGAACAGTATACTCAAAAGCAATCAAATCAATTCCGGATGCTGTCACTGTGTGACTTTACAACATTGGAATTAAACCAACTCTATATACTCCTGAGAATCCTGTCCAAATGAATTTTTTTGTATCCGAACTAGGATTGCCGCAGGTAATGGGTCGGGTACCCGTTACCCGCATACCTGCATGAGTTTTCGGGTACCCGTTTATCCTACAGGTACTGATCACTACCCTGACGGATACGGGTAGTTCGGTGTTCATTTAATTTTTGAAATAAATCGGCTCAAGTGTAAAGTTAGCAACTCATTAGACCGTCAACCAACACAAGCATAAATTTACAATCTATCAAAATTTCTCATTTGCCAGAGACAAACGTTTATTACGAGAGTCTCGTTCCAGAAGCCGTAGAAGTCTGTGACAGCCTCACGACAAAAATACTTTTCTCTAACAAAATGCTATATACAAAATCTGTATTTCAGAATTTTCTAATAAATTTAATCAAGAAACGAAAAAAATAGGAATCACATCCTGGACTTATCTTTCCGTTGATTCACCCAATTGCTTGTGTCAAGTCTATTGGTATATATTTATGATATATTTATGGTATATATATGTATGAATGTATTTAGTAAATATTCTCACTACAATGGTAATGTAGGGGTGATTGAGACGCGCAGAGGGAGAGTATACAATTGAGCGTCAGTGTGAGTGTCTTTGTTTTTGTGAGAGGATTGACTCGGTCGGCAGTGACCAGTATGTTCTAATTGTTAAAGTATAATTAATTCCAAATTGTTGTCTAAATAAAGTTATTTGTCAGTTTAGCTTCAGTCCAGCTAGTACGACTTTATTTTAGTGGAATTATACTAAACAAACAGTCATCTTTACAGTTCTTGCCCATCACAGTCAAAATCGGTGATCGCTAATTAACGGGTAGTTAGTTAGGTCGTGATCCCGTGGAAATCTCGAGCAGACTCCACAGCTTGGCTATGGGGTAAGGTTTCACACTAGTACCGTCCAGTATTTAATTTATAAGTATTAGGTTGATTTTTAAGTTCAAGTTTTTTCGATAAGGCATCAGTGACAACTAGCAAAAGTATCAATTGCGCATTCACTGCAAATGATGTTTTTAGGCCTTTTAAGATGGCCTTATAGATTTGTCAGGATGTCTGTCTGTCCGTCCGTCTGTCTGTACGCACGATAACTCTCTTTAAACGCAAGCTATCGACTTGAAATTTTCTACACTTGATCTTCGGGTCAAAAGTAAGGATGAGTTCGGAGATGGGCATGATCGGTCAAGTGGTTGGCCGTGGGGGTCTTTTCCACCCAAATGTGTTGCCATTAACTACCAGGATGGTATTAATGCCATCTTAAAAGGCCCCGCAAAGTTGCTTGGAGTAGGTTTTTCAAATCGCTTATTTGAGGTTGACATTTTTTGATTCTGCGTTCTTTTTTATGGATGCTGTAATTTTTCCATGGCCACACCGCCATTCCTGTTCGTTCTATTCCTTGAAATGTCAAGGAATACCAAAGGGCGCTTTCGCTGGTGGTGACGAATTTGTCGTTGAATAACCCCGGAACGGTTTGTCGTAGCGGGTCAAAATTTTGAACCGACGAGCATGTTATTCTCAGATAGAGGTGTGCAAAAATTCAACTCCCTACTTCCAAAAATGCCTCCCCCAAAGCCCCCAGAAGTTGAGACACGCATAAAAACTGTTTCCAAACTTAAATACTCGTACAGCCGAATAACAAAACATCTTAAAATTGAAGGGAAAACGGTTTCGAAATCTGGAATCAATAAGGTATTGAAAAATATAGGTGAAAAGCGAGAAATTCTGAGTAGAGGGCAACCACTACCCCCTAGAAGAAGGCAAAAAAAGTGTCAATTCCGACCGTGTTGAGGAAAATTGACCTATTGACCTCAAAAGATAATCCACCGACCCAAAAGGAAATTTCCCGTAAGGTTGGGGTCTCTAAGCGTTCAGTGGAACGAGAAATTACGATTTTGAAAAACGACTTGGTCGGAAAACTTGTGTGCATCAGCTGGCCAAAAAACAGGAAAAAAATCGCGCCTGTGTTTACAAATAAAATTATTTGAATTTTGGTCAAGGAATCAGAGTGAGTTATTAGTAACATTTGACGAAGCACTAATTTCTCTACAAGTTACTAATTGGGTTCCAAGAGCTTACTACACGACAAATGCCGAAAACAATTCACGCAAGTTGGTGCTTCCGCGTAAGGAGAACTTTTTATAACAGCTTATGCTGGTGGGTACAATGTCGGGTCCTGGTATCCTCCCACTTATCAAAGTCCCCCAAAAAGTGAAGGAATCTTTGAAGTATGATGTGGACCGTGTATTGAAACCACTTTTGGAATAACACTTTCCTAAATTGTACGGTAAAAAAATAAATAGGGTGATTTTTCATAATGACTCAGCGTCTTCCCAGACGGAAAAGTTGACCCAAGATTATGCAAAGGACCTTGAAGCTAGATTGGGGATAAAAATCATTTCGAATAGTGAAATACCTGTATAATCCCCTGATATAAGTCAAATGGACTTGTTTGGGTTCGGATTCTGGAAAAGAAAATCTTTTCTGTGGAGACCGAATTTTTTAGACGGAGTTTGGAAAGAGTTGGAATGAGTGTCCCAACTTCTGGGGGCTGTGGGGGAGGCATTTTTGAAAGTAGGGAGTTGAATATTTGCACACCTCTATCTGAGAATAACATGCTCGTCGGTTCAAAATTTTGACCCGCTACGACAAATCGTTCCGGGGTTATTCAACGACAAATTCGTCACCACCAGCGAAAGCGCCCTTTGGTAATTCTAATTGGTGCAATGACATGGGCAATTTTCTTTCTCGGGCAAACCCTTAAGTACAAAATTCGCGGAGATTTTGCCAACTATAACTTCTTTTTGCTCTGCTGTTATGGAGTATTTGCTGGGGATTTAGTTCTGTGGATGTTGGCAATAAAGGGGAAAGATCTTGCGAGCTTGATCAACACAGCGTGCCTGTACAGTAGTAAGTTCAATGGTATGTAAGCGTTTACGAGAAACTACAAAAAATACAAGGTACAAAGAACGCAAGAAATAAACACCACTAATTTAGTGGGTTAACCAATACTATGCTTAATCATGCAATTGTCACCTGGATGATATTTCTCTTGATGGCCTGTCACTCATTGACAAAAAAAACAATTTGGTCCTATTTTCCAGTTTGATCAAATTGATTTCAGAAATTCAATTATACTTGCTGTTTTTTCACTCCAAGCACGGAAAATCTATTTGAACGAAGATCCTGATATAAAATTTAATCTCCAATTTATACAATACATACATACACACAGTTGCTACAGTGGGGAGCGAATTAAATTGTACGGTAGAAAAACTGTTCTATCTCGCACATTGATGAAGATAAGGGCTTGAAAATTTGCAAGGCAGTACCCCAGAAAGATTGTCGTTGGATGCCGTTCCTGTTTTTTAAAAATCTCGAAAAGGTCAAAGGTCACAATTTTTGACCCAAAAGCTCATTTCTCAACTCTTACAGTAATTTTTTTCCTTGGAGGCTTTATTTTTAATCGATAGCTCAACTCAATGTGAACATTTTGATATCTTGTTCAGTTCCCTACGATTTTTTTAAGAAAGTTATGAATTTTGGAAAAAAGTGAATTTTGCGGATTTTACCAAATTCTCCCATAAGCGCAATGTTAAACTTTTCAAAATTCTCTTTTTTCAAAAATTCATAACTTTCTTAAAAAAAATCGCAGAGAGCTGAACAAGATATCAAAATGTTCATATTGAGTTGAGTTATCGATTAAAAAATAAAGCATCCAAGGAAAAAAATCACTGTTAGAGTTCAGAAATGAGCTTTCGGGTCAAAAATTATGACCTTTGACCTTTTCGAGATTTTTAAAAAACAGGAACGGCATCCAACGACAATCTTTCTGGGGTACTGCCTTGCAAATTTTCAAGCCCTTATCTTCATCAATGTGCGAGGTAGAACAGTTTTTCTACCGTACAATTTAATTTGCTCCCCACTGTAAGTTGTGTGGCCCCAGAATTTTGCGAGAAGATCTATTTTTCAGTAAAATTTCAAGAAAATTTTAATTTACAAAAGCATACGTACATATGTACACAATCGACATGCTCGCTTTGGCCTTTGATTTTGAAGTGTAAAAAAATTCTGACATTTGACCGGGCGGTGAATTTAAAAATCGGCACCGAGGCATTATTAGCCAATGAGTTTACATTTACAATTGGGTACAGAATTGTGGGGCTCCAAGTGCACGGCATCTTATTTGAATATAAAAATTCGTAAAGTTGCAACCAATTTTTTTGCTCACTGTATGTAAGATATATGTACGTATACAATTCTATAAATGTGCATATATTTCAGCACGATGGTGGTCCCACCCAAAAGGCGAAGCTGTCCCTACTTTCAATAAAACTTAGATTCCGATCGCAACTTTCACCAATTTCATGCTTAATTTGACCCCGATAACTCTACTTCTACACCTAAATATTCTTCTTACCCCGACACCCATTCCACTTCCCGAACCTCTTCCCATCTGACAGTTTGGTGTACAGCGTCGTTTACATTTTGTATGCTCCTTCCTACTTCTACACCTGGTTTCATTGGGCTGCATTTGTTAAAACGTTGTGTCTCATTTTTTCCGCGCTAACCGTACTCCTGCTCCCCCTTCTGACAGAAGAGCTACGTTGTCCGGATGATAAGGTCTCCAAACGAAAGTTC